GGTGCGCGCAGAAGAGCTGCTACTGCAGTTTCATCATCCTCTCTACCGAATTTATCCTGTGTAGTAAACAATAAATTACATAACAATGATGAGCAAAGAAAAGATGAAATAAAAAAATACCTCTAGTCAAAATAATATGTTTGTTTTCTAATCAATTTCAGACATTTTTTTGGTAAGATATTTACGATGGGGAACTTCTACTTCCCTAAGATGTAAGATTAAATTCACTATGATATTACAAAAACTCATGACATCTGAATTGAGAAGAATACCTTTCTTAATGAGTAATTTATACGACAAACTGAAAATCAACCTCATTTACTATCGAAGATTGAAGTTCAGGACTAATTGAAGCAGGTTGAATTACAGACAATGGACTAGTTGGTGATATATCGATCGCTTCTGAATTCTTCGTCTCATCCGGTTCTTGCTTTAGCTGCGATTAGAAATGGTCAGGAAAATGCTTGAAGAAAATCTCAAGAACTTCATAATAAAATTGACTTAATTCATTTGAAACTGCGTTATTCATTATTTTGTCCTACAGGTATTTATTTGAATTCATATAAAAAATTTGAAGATCACCTCTGTATTTGCCACCTCATTTCTCACAATCGCCAGCAAGCCATTCATGAAAGCATTTTCGTGTTTCACAATTGGAGGAGTCTGCAAGCAGGAATACACTCAATAATCTTAAACGAGATGTGGATTTCATATGACAACTTCCGCAGTTTTTTTAAATTATACCATTAAAAAACAAAGTGAAAACATCTTCGAATCAAGATTATGAATTCACTGATACTAAGTAAATACCTGTAGGACAAAGGACAAACCGACCCTTAAAGCTTCTGGCCTAATTGAAGCAGATGATGTTGTCGCGACCATTGTTGGCGCTGCCTCGCTATTCGATGCTGAACCAACAGGTCGTCTTTCCGCTTGCACCGCTTTAAAAAGAGAATTATCACATTAAACCAATTTCAAGATATCAATAAATTTATTTCCTAATTGTAATCTATGGATAAGATTAAACATTCAAATCGATGGATTCTTCAACAAATCCAATTACCCGCCATTCATCATTTTAAGAAGTGCTGCTTGGTTATGAGGTGCAACACGTATTCTGAAATCAGAACAACTCTCAACCAAGGCTATTTGTGGCTTCCTAAAAAGTTTATAGTGATAGCCATTAACTAATCATTTTAATCCAGCAACTTATTAAGCAATCTTCAGGTGGATCCTTGGTCATTAATCAGTTCAGAGCACTTTTTTGAAATCTTGCGATATCAATTACAAGTATCACCAAACGGAAACTAACACTCGCTTCGCATTCCCATGGTAAGACATTTCCGCAAACGACAATACTGACATCGATTACGATGAAACTTTGTCACTGGACAATCCTTTGTTCCGCGACACACATATCCTATCTGAAATTACTTAACTTCAAGTCGAAAAGTAGAAGGAAGTATTTCTTAACTATAAATCGGTAAGGGTGCTCTTTTGAATCTGAGTATTTCAATGGAACGAGTAAGGCGTAAAGTGCCGCATCTGTAATAAATGCTTAAATAGATATGTAGGGAGTCAAATTAATGCAAACTGCAACAAAAATGGAAGCCTATAGCTTGCTTGACATCTACAAAAATTCTTATCCATAATTGGTTGCATGAAGATTTCATCCTACAGATATGCCATAAATTTTGTTTCTATTACAAACACCTATTTAAAATAAGTGGAGAGCAAAGGTTCACAAAACTGACAATCTTAGTACTAATCAAATCGAAGATAAGTCGATCAAGTGATATAATTTCTGATTCAAGTAATATTAAGTCTTATTAATAATAAATGTGCAACAAAATACCTGCTTTCTAATACTGCGTTTGAAAAATCCTTTACATCCTTCACAGCTCACAGCACCGTAATGTCTCCCGGATGCCTTGTCGCCACATACGACACACAATTCGACACACATATCCCGAACTGCTGTTGATGCACTCGTTGTGCAATGAGGTGACGATGCATTGCCGCCACGCGATACATTACCTGCAGCTGATGAATGATGAACTGACGCTGCGGCTGCCATCAGCTGAAACATTCATACAGCTGGTAATAAGCCTGGCAAATTACATTTAGTTCCGAAAAACCGAATAATCCTGGAACAGTTCCAAACTGCACGTTCTTCATGGAACCTCTGGTAGCTCATGTGTTAACGTGGTGGGTGACCCCAACTCACTAAAAGATAAATGGTAAGGTGAAGCAGCCAGTGTGAGCAGCTACAGCTGACAAACTATTGACAGCTCTGCTGGCAAAGTGACTGGGGCTACTTTATCGATTCATTTTGCATGCTTTATTCACATAAAATCCGATGAAAGGTCAACCAGGATCGATAACCGGCTGTCATCAACTCTCTCCCCTCCCCTCACAATGTGTCTACCATGCAGGGCTACGAGAAGCAAAGGTAGAGAGTTACTGCACACAACTGGTTATTGAAATACGTTCTTTTGACAGGAAGCAACTATTAACTGTACAGCAGCAACAGCAACAGCAGCAGCAACAATAACGGCAGCAGTAGCAGTTGCAGCGGCACATTGTCAACTATTCTTTCTCTTCAGCATCAGTCTCAGCTTAGCGTAGCAATTAAAACTAGGAACGGGGAGCGGATGCTGTTTGCGTAATGACCGTTATGAAGTGCAGCTAATTGCTGCACATTGCTGTTACCATAGAGCATGACGAAAGGCAGAGAGTAGTTCATAGTTACTAGCTAGCAGCAATGCTTCCACTACTACTGAGAGAGGATTCTATGATAACAGCAACGGTACAACCACTTATCCCATTCCATACAGTGTTATCCCCTGTCTAAAAGAATCTGCCAACTAGACTATCGTACCTACCATGAGATGCATTTCAAGTCATCGATATTTTTGACTCTCTTAATTTACATAAATGCCACTAACATCATCTTCATTATTACATTATTGTGCGATTCGTATGCGCCAGCACGAGTGCATTGCCTATATCGCAAACGTACATTTGCAGACAAATGTAACTTTTACACCTTCATTGGCCCTCAAATTCACAGACTTTCCGTCGCTACTTGATGTGATGCTATCACCTTAATTCAGATGCATCTTGTTTGCTTTTGTTTCAGTAAATTTTAATAATAAGAACACATCCCACAAACGCAGCAAATTCAAAACATGACATGAAACTGGCGAGTGGACCAAAATGACCCACTAGCGATTCGTCATCATTCTGAAGGACTCAGCATTCGAAAATCAAACATGTTTACTGCTTATCTGTAAGTCCCTTCTTTTAAATTTTACATTACCCTTACCTTTTTATCTTGTAATTTACTAGTTCCGATTCTAGGATAAAATGGAAAATGTGAAAAACCAATACTTTCCCATTTGCTACTTTTTAAAAGGACTTCAGATTGGCTACTGTTATGGTTAATCAGGTTATAAATGTCATGCCTTTCGTTGTTAGCGATAATGCCATTTTTTAATTCAAACTCATACGTTTAATATCGGTATTGTTATAGATTATCAGCTAATCCGTACATCTCATCTTCAAACGCTAAAGAACATACGATAATTGCCAATGGATGTAACTGAAGTACCATTTGGCAATGATCAACCCTGTCTGTTTAATTCATTGTTAATTGACTTTACTACTTCAATTACATCTTAAGCTATATAAAGATAATGAATCCAAACTGAAGTCTTATTTCACTCAAATTTTTTCGAGGGACCGTTTAAAATCTTATATCTACATATACTTCATTCGTGCTGTACTATCTCTATCAACAATTCAAAATCAGAATTTTTTTCCATCTATACCAAGCTTTTACAGTATTCAGTGAGACTGTTCTTTTCATATCTCTACTTCATCAAGGTCAAAACTAGAGCAGGCTGATGATGTAAACACTTCCAATGTTCTTTAGTAAAATCAGATTTGTTAGACGACAAAGAGCGGTACTACTCAACTATAACGTATCTCTTCAAGTATGCCAAGTTGAACAGCAATGAAAATACGAAAGAATTACACCAAAAAAAAAAGCTTTTTTGGAGCGAAATTTATGCATAATTAAATGTAAACTTGGGGAATTTGACAAATAATTCATCAAGACGACTTTTCTACAGCAAAACACTACTTTATTATTCGTAGTCAGCACTATTCGTAATAAAAGATCCACGAGATAAATTAAGAAAGCGCTGCTTTTTGTAAGCGCACTGTAGGAGAGCAAGGAAAGAACACGACAGATATGTCTGTATGACAAAAGGGTGTGAAAGCAGGGAATATAGAGTTGAAAGAAATTATAGGTACAGGAGACGGTAGGAAGGGTTCACGGGACAGTTGACAGAGTTCAGTAGCTGTCTTCGACCTCAAATGTATGAAAATCATCCGGCGGTGATGCCCCGGCGACCTCGCACAGTCAGTGCAGCCATTTGAAATTGAGGTCTATGACCTCATGCACCTATTCAATTTATTTTGCATAATTTTTCAATGAATCTATTTCCAGTGGGAAAGTTATCCCGTGAAAATATTTATCACTCCACTAACACCTCAATAAGCCATCGACCTGACAAAGTGTTTCACGTAGCTGCTTCAGTGTGTTTCAGGGAAACACGGAGGTCAAATCCCAACAAAATGAGATGAATAATGCACAAGTCTCAAAGTACAGTGTTCCAAGCAAGCAAAACATGAAGCAATGATGCTTCGTTTCTTCACGCTGAAATTATTGATCAACAAAGAGCTATAGAGAGAAAGTATGTAGAAGTGAATGCACTGTCATCTATGTAGATTGTTAAGCGACGTGGGAGCAAAAAGCAGTTCATTCCAGAGGTCGTGACCTCTGAGAGAAGCCAACCCAAAAGTCTTTCCTTAGACAATAGAATGGATGTACAACAGAAATCACTACCGATTTCCCTCACGCATTCCTTCAATCCGCGAATCTTTTAACCACTCTTCCTCCCTCCTCCTTCTTTCTCCTTACCCAAGTGACAATGAAAAGCAGTGCGTTCAGTTGGTACGAGTGCTGGAAAACAATGAGGAGGATGGGTGACGCAGACGGTAAGCTAATCTGCGAGAGGACACGTAGCCTATAACTTACGACTAAATCTTCAACAAGAAGCAACACCACTACTACTCGATGTAGAAGTGTCAGTGTGAAAGAGGAGAGAGGCTGCGTTGCAGCAACAGCAGCCGCTGCAACAGCCAGCCGTCCCAGTCGTCGTCAGTCATTTGTCCACAGAGGTGAAATAGTGAATTGCATACGGAGGCCGCTGGCCGTTAATTCCTCTTCCCCACGCGCCCCTCTCCCGTCCACCCTCCCATATTCTATATCATTCTGCACTGGTTTACCGACGAATGAGTGAAGGTTGACGGGCACGCTGGTTCGTGAACCTGCATGCTATGGGCATGCTCTGGGAAAACCTTGGCAATCAACGGATTAACCCCACCTTGTCATGCAATCTTATGTTAGATGCAGTGACCTTCAGCAAAGGGCAAAGGTCACATACAAGGTAACACCGCTCTATAATATATTAATGCATAGACGATGTCAGACCCTCGTATGACTTAAAGCGATTTGCTTGCAATTATTGTTTACGGAATACTGCAAACTCCGCTGCCCGTATGTCTGCTGCAACTTACAGTTAAATGCGCTGATTTTCATCTTTTCAAGAAATACGCTTCAATATAATTACCTCTTTCCCGTTTGTTGATATCATATTTTTTTTGACCATAACCATTTAATCAGTCTGATCTACATATGATTTCAAATGATTTGGACCTTATTTCAAATGATTTGAACCTTATTTTTATTCAGTGCTAATTCATATATCTGACTTTACTTCAAATATTCCACTTTGCACATAATTTACACTATGTATTTCTCTCGTTGAATGCTCATTTAAATTAGTTAATGATCAAGCTCAGTCAGAAATGTTCGCAAATATATCAACTTCAACAAGTATATCAGCCCAAACTGTGTATTTCCTTCAAGAGATAGACAAAAATAGCTTTCGCAATAATTGAAGATGTTTTGTCGGCATATCATTAGTTCGAAATTTGCTTATCTATCTTTAGTAATTTTTTTTTTGCTATTAACTGCTAAATTACTTTTGTGTACGTCATTTACTCGTTAACACAATCATCTAATTGCTTCAATCTTATTCCGTAGGCTCACTATTCAGTATATTGTTCCTGGCTGCAATATTTAGGAGTTAATTAGCTGAAAATTGTATTAAATCACAATCAGCTAGAGTAACTTTAATGAGTTTAAAACGTTGCAGCCTTTTTGTTCTTTATTTCTGCAAGCCCTTCCCAAATGTTTGACAGTTCTTTCTTCTTTCTTTTTTTGCGATTTAACAGGATCAGATAGCATCCGTGAACTTACAAACGAAGAAATATCCCATAAAAGAAAAAAATGGAAACATTTGTTTGCATTTAGATTCTAACAATCTTTCATAAAATGGTATGCTAATCTAAATGGGCGCTACGAGTTAGCGAAACATTATAAAAGACACAGTAGTTTCTGAAATGATCACGCTATTCCGTCAATCTTCATTTTGCATATTTTTGATTGAATGATTATCCAGTTCTTTTTGAAATGTTTGGATGATTTCAGTTATTTGGCTTTAAAATACTTCCTAACAAATTTGGAAGAAGCAATTTGCTTCGAAAATTTACTTTTGGTGAACAAGCTATTTTTTGGTGCAAGAATATCACGTGTGGACTTTCTCGAATATTTTTTTCAAGTAACTTTTAGTCCTATATAGTTTCACTGTTTTGAAATCATTCGTTCTGTCTCTCTCAGATCAAATGAGATACTTTTAGTACGAAAGGTTATAAAATTTTCTTCAGATAATAAAGAAATATATTTAAAGACGAAACAGATTAAAATTAGGTTAATAAGTCAATTTCTATTGGGCTGTTCACAGGTCAGTTTCTTTGAAACATTCTTAATTTTTTGTTTGGAAAATCTAAGACATTTAATAAAAATTGCAATCATTAACGTAAAGGAAAAAATGTATAAGTGTTCCATTTGGCCATTCTCATCACTCAAATTTTCCTTTGATCACAGAAGCTTACACATTTTGAAAAGTATGGGCACTTATTAGTATCAACAATTTGCTGTATTTAATGTAGAATATACATTTTTCTTCCTTCCCTCTCTCCCTCTTTTTGATTAATGTACAAGAAAATTGGGTAAGCATACAGCTAGTGTTGCAACTACGATGTAACTTCTTCAAATTATTTTGTTTGATATGGAAAAGGAAGCACTTGTCATTCCAATGTTTCTGAAATAATTGCAGTAAAAAAACAGACCTGATTGCTGTGTAGTGCGGATAACTGATGCAACATTGTTGGCAGTATTTGGCCATTCCTGTCATTGCAACGATTATGATGTATTAAGGAATTTTGCGCAGTTGCTGCCTAAATTATATGAATTTCAGAAAATGTACAAACTCTTCTAAAACATCGACAATCTTATGTTAATTAGCCTTCTAAAATTTCGTTAGTGCGAATTAGTCATAGTAGAACACTGATTCCCTAAAGATGCTTACCACATTAGTTTTTAATTATTTTTATTTGAATTGCCTGACTTTTACTATCAAACATTCAGATATTTTTGGCTTGCTTCGGACTTCCAATAGAACACTGAATTTCTATGTTTTATTAATCATACATAATAAAAATCTTATGATTTTAGTAGTCAGTTCCTTACTATTAATATTCATTCCGTTAAATACGATTAACGTGGAAAAATTAAAATTCGTAAGAATATTGAATAAGAAAGAAAGGTTTGTGAAAAAAATTAACCTGCATCATTGAAAGAAGAGTATTTGGAGTATTAAGCAAACCAATTTGTGCAGCCATCATTGCAGGAGTCAGGAGAGGACTGAAACCAGTGAGCGGTATACAAGGATGTTGTAGCTGATCTGGGTTACTGATTGTTCTTGTACTGAATGCACTTAGTATCGGTATTGTACTATCACTCTAAAATATTGTTGCATTTGAAACTTTGCATATGCTGTTCGTTTGTGAATGAAAGGTAAATTTATGTATTTATTATTATCGGTGGCTTAAGAAATGGTCACTTTGATAGCATAAATATTGAGGCATTTTCGAAAGTTATTCATAAATTATTCTATCATTTGCTCTTCTTTAGACAGAATAGATGAGACTATATTTTGTGTAAA